CTTTTAGGGCTCCTTATTATGATTTCCTTATATAAGTCCTTAAAAAGGTAGGTTCTTCAGGGTTAAGGAAGCCTTGTTATGAAAGGACCTTGTGGTGCAGAGTGGAGGCTTCAGGTTGTGGGTTAGATTTCGGATTGCACAGTTTCAGGCTGCTACTAAAATAAAAACTATTCCTTATAGGGATAATATGGGGATTATTACCTTTTACTTTTTGGGGGTTCTTAAGCAAATAATAGTAATAGCTTAGTAGGCCACCTTTCATTTGTTGTTACATAGATGCCTATACTAACGATGTCCGAGAGGTTTTCCTCATTATCCAACCCCCCAAAAACGCGAAGACTTCACACTCCGAAGCCAAAGCTACTAAATCAGCCCCAGACTAGACCCAATCTTATTATTATTGAGCCTTTATTGAGCCACTGGAAGCGATGGGGCTTAGCTGTGCAGGATGAGGCTCTAATGTTCTGGGGATTAGGGTTTAGGGTTTAGGGTTTGTTTTTTGGATTCTGCAGGAGTTGGGCTAAAGGTTCCGGGGTTGAGGGTGCTAGGGTTGTTGCAGATCTTAAGCGAAAAGTCTGTGGGGTTTGAGGTTGTAGGCTGGTCGGTCTCAATGCCGATGGGCTTCGAGTTCGCTGAGTGTTTCTATGTGCCACTGAGAACTTCTCCTGTTCTTTTTCCCACATGTCCTCTGATGTTCGTTTCAGTTGCTGCACGGCTTGTGCACGAAGTCCCATAATCTCGACTTATGCATGGGATCGGATCCTCGTCTCTGCTTCGCATCGAGAAGATGTTGTGCCTCGGGACACTTTTTCAATCGCCCTGAACGCCTGGACCCCTGGGGTCCGAATATCCCCACATGTTCAGGCTTCGGGACACGAAAACAAGTTGAAAGTTTCCCACAAGTAGGGGTCCCTTATTTTGGGGTCCTTATACCAAGGATCCTGCTATTTTATTTAGGGGACTATATTAGGGCCCCCTATTTCCGGGAAACTCCCAGTTAGATCAGCCAGATCCACTTAGTAGTGTTAAGAGTTGTCTGTCATTCAGTTTAGAGTTGTTTGTCTTTACCGAACTGGCATTACAGAGGTCAAAAATCATGCGAAGTAGATCCGCTAGCATGGGTTGGGCGCCCTTTGCAATTTCGTCGCAGGTCTAGTTAAAATCCTCCGGAACAAGTCTGAGTAGGGCTTGGCAGTGCATGCATGGCCTCTTGGCATAAGGACCCTGCGTGTGATCGTGGCTTACTTGGAGAATCTGTTGAAGTCTCATGTTTACTTCGCACCCTTTAGAAGCCGCTGCGGATAATGCCCCTTTTCCTATCTTGCTCGAGCAATTCTGATATCATGTCAGAGCCTTAAACCAAAGCCACCCAGAAACAGTTTCCGAGCAGCACATCATGAGCCGAAGTGGGCGCTTTTCTGGACGGATCACTGTGAAGCCAGTTCGGAGATTTCTGCATCCCTCGCGTAAGTTTGTCAGTTTGGGAGATCAGAGATGCATTGAGCATGTCAGCGCGGTTCGGGCATCGTTCAGCGTCAAGTGATCCAATGTCGGCCATCACATTTGTGCAGGAAGTCGACTTTTCTGTTTGGTTTCAATAGATACCCATCCGAACAATCCCGCCACTTGTTCGTACGAACATTGTCACAGTGCCCCATCCGAACAATTACTGGAGCAAACGCGTTTCAGCAAGTATGCGACCCAGATGCAAGCACTGGATCATAGGACCCTTAGTTCGTCACTGGTGTACAACTTAGCGGCTTAGCGGCTTCTGAATAGCAAAATGCTGCTGAATATCAGAAGCCAGCGATTGAGTGGCTTCAGAGATACCGCAGATAGTCTCGTCCGGATCACGTGTTTTTGTCGCAATGCCTACCGTAAAGGCCACACGAATATTTTCCATGTCAACGACCTACTATAGAAAGTTTCGTCATGTTGCCTGCATCGATGACACGCAGAAAGCATTGGGACCCATACGCGTTGTTCCCTAAATCCTAAACCTCCCCAAACTCTAAACTCTAAACCCCTGAACCCTAACCCCTTAAAACCCCTAAACCTCCCTAAACCCTAAACCCCTGAACCCTCACCCCTTAAAGCCCCTAAAGCTGTTTTGTACATAAACCGGCCGGACCCTCGTCTGTAATCCGGCTCTTCTCCACATCTGATGCCAGTTTGGGTAAGGGTATGACTTCAAACTGCCCCAGCATCTAAACCTTGACCGAGTTCTTGTTAATGGTAGTAGTTATTATACAGTAGTAGTAAAAGCAAGAATAAATAACAATCATAGTATGGTTTCTTTACCTCGGTAGGAACCCTAGAAAAGGTAGGTTATTTGGGCTTCAGGTAGACCCTAATCCATGAACCCGAAGGCCTAGACACTCTTCAGGACCCTGGGGACCAAGTTTCTAAGCATGATGATGCCCTTCCTCACGTTCTCGGCTTCATTGTTTAGGGTGCACCATACGCAAGCACTGGGTAGAACTTATCTAGTCGGTACCTTCTTGAACTTTAACCACAGTATGTAAACTCATAATGGAGGTTGGCTCTACATATTGCCCCCGATCCGTAGCCCCGACTCGCGAAAGGTCATTAAGGTCTTCCAACTTTGTCGTTGCACTCGGGCGGTCGCCACTACTCGCTGCCAAGCTCATCGAGACAAAGCAAAGCTGCTGGAAGCATTATAAGCCCTAATTACCAAGAGGGTCCATATACACTACCAATATGTTTTTAGGCCACAAAAAAGCATTCTAATAAATGGTTTTGGGGTACCTAATTCCATAAATAGTAGTACATATGGCCCTTCTGCGTAAATGCTGAAGAGAAAAGCACATGAGTGGTTCGGCGACCCTGAACGAGAGGGGCTTGTATTCGTTCTAGTCTTTCAGCATATCAAGGCCTTATCCCCTTTTGGAGGCTTCTAAACCCAAAACCGTAAGCCCTATAACCCTGAACCCTGTTTATAATCGCCAACCTTTTTTAGGGTTCTAAACCCTATAAGCCTTGCAACCCTAAACCCTGTTTATAACCGCCAACCTTTTCTAGGGTTCTAAACCGTATAAACCTTACAGCCCTAAACCCTGTTTATAACCCTAAACGCTAAACCCTAAGCCCTGTAACCCTAAACCGTGTTTATAACCCTAAACCCCGTTTAGGGTTCTGGGAGCAAGATTCGAAAACACAAACCATGAGAGCACTTGGTGTTGGAGGCCTTCGGATATTATATGGGCGGTTGTCAAAATTAGGATCCCTTGTTGGGCCGTCTTTTTAATACGGCACCTTGTATTTAGGGAACCCCAAAAGGGACTCTAGTTTTGCTTACTTCTCATATTATATTCTGTTCGGTTGTGTTGTTCTATTATATTACCTTACACATTCCTCTCTTATCTTATACGGGCTTATGTTATATGCAAGGGGGTTCTTGAGACAGTCGTACATGTTTCAGCTTACTCCCAAACCAATTGCATCGAATCTCCAAGCCTGTCAATTTCAAAGCCGCAAATGGTATTACAATGTTTCATTCGCTTCGGGGGGGGGGGGTCCACCGTAGGCGCCGAAGCGCCGAGCATGGGAGGAGTCGAGGGGTGGTCTGCCAGGGTGGAGGGTCAGCGTTTCGGGTAGGTTTAGGGAATTTAATTAGGGTGTAGGGAGTTTAGAGTTTAGGGAGTTTAGGTTTTAGGGTTTAGGGAGTTTAGGGTTGGTTTGGGGAGTTTAGGGTTTAGGGAGTTTAGGGTTTAGGGAGTTTAGGAGTTTAGGGTAGGTTTAGGGAGTTTAGGGAGGTTTAGGGAGTTTAGGGTTTAGGGAGTGTAGGCTTTAGGGTTTAGGGAGTTTAGGGAGCTTCTGTTTTAGTGTAGGCAGTGGACACTCTAGGGTAGGAACGCGTTGGTAGAAACGCCGAGGGGTTGCAAGGCTTCGGAGCATCCTGCTCATAGGGCCCCACTGTTATGGGGGATACCTTCCCAAATCATAGTATGAATTCCTACTGTAGAGACCCTACAATCGACTTTTTAGGTGCTTTGGACCGTTTGGGCTCTAGGACTCTAGGCATGGGGAATCCACGTGATGATCATCTTTCTCTAGGACCTAGAGTAGGCCCTTATTCCCTTTTTAAGGGTTCAGGTTCCTTTACAAGCCCCTTTAAACCAAAAAGGGCACCCTTTTTATTCCTAGGGTACTCTTGGGTCTAGTTCTTCTGCCCGAAATCCCGCACCCTGAACCCGAGACCCGATACCTTCCATGTTTTAACCTTCCGGAGTTCACTGTAAACCCCGCGCTTTACTTTTCCTCCAAGATTCCTGTGCTGATATTTGGTGTTGCATAACTAGATATGATTTCCTGTAGGCTTGTTTGAGTACGAGTGCTGTGAGAGGTTACATGTTCCGTAGCATGCTTTCTATATCATGTCTTGTTCATGAACAGGAAAACTGATAATCCGTAGCATGCTTTCTATAACATGTCTTGTTCCTGAACAGGAAAACTGATAATCATAGACTCTAGACCCCGCGACCCTCAACCGAAAGTAGACGGTCCACAAGAGGCCACCCTGTTTGTGCAGGAGGTTCCTGTACCCCCTCAGCGCTAAGCGCAGGCGAAACCTAGTGTAGTGGCTTGAATATGATTACAGCACCCCTGCTTCGTGCCTATACTTCTCTAGCGTAGAGATGCCCTAAAACCGCCGAACACGTCCACTAATTCAAAATGTCCTGAACATTCCCCTCAAAGTCTTCCGCTCATTGAGCCCTTAACCTTTAGCACTTGAATCCTCAACTCAATCCCTAAACACCGAACCCGCCTGACAACTACGTACATATGTCATATGCAATTGTCGATGTGAGTGTGTATGTATGTATGTATGTATGTATGTATGTATGAGCATATATTTAAATACATTCGCATATTTGTTCCGATCTGCTTCTCAGCAGTACTTGATGCAGCATCAGCAACATAATGATCACCATGGCCATAACAAACACCTCGAATCTCCGGACTGGCCGCCATACGAGGCCTGTATCGCCATTGGCTTTGCCGTCTTCTTGGCCCATGCCGCTTTTCTCGCAGTAAGTACTCATTCTTTTCGAGGGGGCACGGGGGTGTGGTGGTGGGGCTTAGAGTGTACAATTGAGTGTTTGGGGTTCAGGGCTGAGGGGTTCATGGTTTAGAGTTCTTCACTTGACTTGAAGCAATGTCGGGGAGGGGGGTCCGGGGGCGAGGGTGTGGGTAGGTGGGTCGGGCGGGCGCAATGAGTAGAATAATATCCTTGAGCTGATTCTCCGAGGATTTCGAGCATGGGTTTAGTACGATGCCACTTCACATCAGGTCAATGTTTCGAAGGATTTCCACTTGGTTGTCCACGCGCCTTTTGCATTTTTTCAGATGGTTTGGGTGTAAGGTCTGGCTTTGTTCACTGGGATTTCGTTAATGTTAAGGATTCAGTTGAAGTTACCATAATAATATGGGAGCCCCCGATTTAGTATAGATCATTATTATGGTAACTTAGCCGAAGTTCCTCAGCAAGACCCCGCTACAGGCGGGCTCGTGACTCGTGACCAAATAGGGTGAATGTATAATCGGCTTCATGTTGGGGTGCTACGGTTGATGATATGAACCCTACATTACCCATTATAAGAATATGCCATATTTCCCATAGATTACGGTCATTAAGGTAGAGTAATGCAGGATTTCCAGCATCAACCGTAGTGTAGCCGGCGCCCTGAAGCCGCAACATGCTCAAACGAGCGCGCACTCGCAGAAACCAATGCCCGCACCTCCGGTACCACTATGGGCTGTTAGACATTATGGGTACCTTAATCTACCCTTAATAGGGTCCTAATAGGGATCTTTAGGGTCTAATAGCCCATAGTGGTAGACGTAGCGGTAGTCAGTACGGCTTTTTTTTGAGGATTCTGTGCATTTCTAGATAAAATGAAGAAGTGTGGGGGCCTAATTAGTCACAATCATGGAAAAAGTTTGGCTAGCTTCATAGTTTGCTAGTTCGTCAGTTCGACGATCACTTAAACCTTGTTTCCCTAATCCACCCAAAGACAAATGAAGCCTTTCCTTTGCAGCTGTGATATTTAGAGTAATTAGTAATCTAGTATTAGGGACCCAAAACGCACATTAGCATTATCATTTTATAGGTTTATCCCTACCTCAATTGGCTTCATTATGAGGGGGTGTATATGGGATATCCCTATCCTTGTTTTTGCTTGTGCGTTTTGGCGGCCCTATAGTACTACCTAAAGCCCGTCTGCCGTTTCGCAGGAGATTACTTAGCCGTTCTGGGGGTCCTGAAAGATGTCAGGGTTTGGGGCGTCAGTTGAAGCCCCGGTACCGAACAAAAAGCCCATAGCATTAAGTCGCAAAGCAGTTCACGCAGCTCCAAGTTCTACGAAAATTTGGATGCCCCGGCCCCAACTATATAGACCCCTTTACGGACCCTACTATAGAAGACCCCTTGCAGAACCCTTTCAGGAATCCTTTAAGACCCCTTTTATAAGGCACCTTTGCCTTGACTTATTGGCTGTAAACTCAACTTTTCCAACTTTTGGGGTTCTTATAAGGTAGTCTATTCTGAAACTTTAAACCCTCAACCCTAAACCCTAAACCGTTTTCCTGGTTTTTTTGGGGCACCTTTGCCTTGACGAGTCCATGGTCAGCTCCAGGTGATCCTCTTGCCCGTCGACGGATGCTCCATCAACCCGACTCGGCCCCTGGGTTTCCTACCTATCCATTGGTATTGGAGGAGCTAAGGAGCCAGGGATGATGATAATCCCTATGAAATAAGGAGCTAAAGAGCCAAAGGAACCCCAAAACCACTGGTTAGCTACGGTTGATGATATAAATTCTGGAGTTCCTTTATACAGGGGTCTATAAGGGTACCTTTAGGGGATTCCTTTAAGGGATCTATAGGGTTTTAGGGTTTAGGGTTTAGGGTTCATGATATAAATCCTGCATTACCTCAAGGACCATAGACTATGGGAATTATGGCATGTTCCTTATTATGGGTAATGCATGGTTTACATCATCAACCGTTTTAGTAGCGTAGGTGACCTTGAAGTAACCCTTTTATATTCCAAACGGTCAACCTTGAGTTCCCCTGGCTACTGGGCAAGTCAGGTTTCGTTATCAGCCCCCTAAACCCTGAACCCTCAGAAACCCAAAACCCGAAGCCCGAAACCCTCACGCAGAAGGTTTCAACTGTTGGCAGCTCCGGCGCTTAGGATGTAGGGTGCTTTTCCCGACTGTATACACCCAAAAGTAGTCTTAGGAATTTCCCTTATGATCATATACTCCTCCCAATACTAACCTACATGACTTACCACTACATATCCGAAGGCCAGGTACGGAGCCTCAACTGCAGGGACTTTTACAGAAACCCTTATAGAAGGCTCCCATAAAGGAACACTTAAAGGATCCCTTACAGGGTCTCTTAGGGGAAAAGCCCTGCACTCAAGTGCTAGTGCAGGAAGGTAGGGTTCAGGGTTTAGGGTTTAGCGGCTTGGACCGAGCTCTGAGGCTCAATGGTGTAGAGACACTGCGATAAACCTTGACAGCACTAACTCTTAGTCTTAGACCCTCAATCCTAAACGCTAAACCCAAAGAGCCCAAACTTGCCAAGCCCGAAACCCCCTAACCTGACCTCACAGTAACTCGAAGAGGATTCGGGTTTTGAGGTTTGAGGTTTGGGGGTTTCAGGTAAAGCCCCAAACCAAAACCCAAAACCCTAAACCCAAAACCCTAAACCCTAAACCCTAAGCCCTAAGCCCTAAACCCTATAGACCCTAAACCCTAAACCCTAAACCAAAACCCTAAACCCTCCAAGGTCCTTTGGTCCTGCCATCGTCGGCGCAATACGGAGTCTCTGCTGCATCGATGGAATCTCCATGTGGGAGTTTCCGAAAATAGGGGACCCTAATATAGTAGCCCTAAATAGTAGGATCCTTACTATAAGGGCCCCAAAATAAGGTACCCCTCATTTTCGGAAACTCCCATGCGGTGGTGTGAAATCTAAGTTCTTTTTTGTTTGCCTGAGGCTCTGGGTAACTTGCTTAGAAAGAGCACCCAAACAGCCTAACACGAGGTTGTCCACTTCTGTGTCACGGAGCATCGTATTGCTCGCCGTGAGGATTCCCACTTCCTCCTGTGTGCGGCCTGTCACGAGGCCTTAACGGAACTCCTGCTCGCACCGGGAGTCACTGAGGAGAGGCTGCAAGCGGCCTATGTCCTCACCAATATCTGGCGGTTGCTGCCTGCGTACAGGTTGCGCCAGATCAGGTACCGTTTGCTCCGGCTGTAGCTTGTGCTCCGTGCCTTTGGGCCACAGACGCCGAGCTCTGCTCACGCTTTCTGCGCTTGGAGAGAAATCTAAGGTTTCAGCGCAAAACAACGGATAAGGAATGATACTACTCTTCGGTGCCCAGCTTTTTCAATGGGTTCTGTTAGGAGTTAAGATATAGTAAGCTGGGTTTGTCGCTTAGTGCGAAGCCCGGCGCAAGCTTCACCTCCCTTTGTGGTCCTAAACCCTATAAACCCTCAGGGTTTATGGCCGTTTAGGGGCTTGGGGTGTAGGGGTTTAGGGTTTAAGCCCGTCTATCGGGGCTTAAGGTTTAGGGTTTAGAGTGCCTAAACTCGAAAAGCTTCCTAAGCCCCGACAACGCCCGAGCCCTAGCCCCCAAAGCCGAAACCTTCCCCAAGACCCGCTTAGGAGCCTTAAGGTAGACTTAGGGGTACTTAGAAATAGTTTTTAATTTGAAACGCTGCGCGTCGTCCGCCTCGGCCCGGCTGTACGCGCATGCGGCGAGTGGCTACTATCTGCAGCAAGCTCTTGTAGGAAAAAAGTAACAGTTGGGTTTCGTGCTTTCGGGTCCAGGTGTTGTCCGAGCTTTGAAATTTTTTCAGGCTGGGGTTAGGATTAGGGTGTAGGCTTAGGAGTTCAGGTTTGAAACTCCCTTGGTACTGCAGCCTTAAAGTCGAGCCCCAAGAGATAAAGATGCTACATTACAGTTTCGTGTCGTCGGAAATTCCCAGAAAGCTCGCACCTGTCAGCGAAGGGGGGAGGGGCGGGAGGGTGGGGGAGGAGGGGGGGCGGGGGGGCAGGCGGGGGAGGGGGTCGTGCTTTCGGGTGCAGGTGTTGTCCGGGCTTTGAAAGTTTTTCAGGGGTTAGGCTGTAGGGTTAGGAATTCAGGTTTGAAACTCCCTTGGTACTGCAGCCTTACAAGCGAGCCCCAATTTTTCAGGCTGGGGTTAGGGTGTAGGGTTAGGAGTTCAGGTTTGAAACTCCCTTGGTACTGCAGCCTTAAAGGCGCGCCCCAAGAGATAAACATGCTACAATACAGTCCGGTGTCGTCGGAAATTCCCAGAAAGCTCGCACCTGTCAGCGAGGGGGGGAGGGGCGGGAGGGTGGGGGAGGAGGGGAGGCGGGGAGGCGGGGGGCAGGGCGTTGTGCTTTCGGGTGCAGGTGTTGTCCGGGCTTTGAAAGTTTTTCAGGCGGGGTTAGGGTGTAGGATTAGAAATTCAGGTTTGAAACTCCCTTGGTACTGCAGCCTTACAGGCGAGCCCCAATTTTTCAGGCTGGGGTTCAGGGTGAAGGGGAAAGGAATTCAGGTTTTTGGGGGTGGGGTCACTGGAGGGGATTAAGAGGTGGGGAATAGAGGGAATCCGAATAGGAACCTCTGACCGCTTCGGCCGGGGCCGAGGCGATTTTTTGGTTACTACAATCCCTAAGAAACAGCTAAATATGATTTTTGCTAGGGTTCTAAGTTCAGTATAGTAGAATTTAGGACCAAAACCGAAGGGCAATGAAGCTTGCCCTGATCTTAGCACGCTCGGCTTGCTCTCTGCCTTCCTGGGGCCCTGCCTGGAGTGTTTTGCTTCCCCTTAGTGCCTTTGGGTTTAGGGTTTAGGGTTCAGGGTTTAGGGTATAGTGTTTAGGGTTTAGAGTTTAGGGTTTAGGGATACAGAGTAGAATGTGGGGTTTCAAAACAAGGAATTAGTGTTAGGATTTGGGAAGTATCCCAGGACCCTTTGGGTTCGTCCTGTTTAATTAGCCCCCCTTCACAGCCTAAGCTGTCACAAGGCCGCAGCTTAGACTTACTGGACGACATGCAAACGTTGTGGTTCCCACAGAACGTTTAAGTCTTAAGTATCACGGAAGAGCGCTACCCTACGACTCGAAATGCGCTGTTGGGCCCTTGACCCTAAACCCGAAACCCCAATCTCTGAACCCCAAACCCAACTTAACAAACAAACCCCGAACCCGACACCGCCCTCAAAAAGGCGAACCACTGGTCTTGATATAACTCCTGCATTACCCGTAATGAGGAATATACCATAATTCCCATAGCCATAGTTTGCCCTAAGGCCCCAAAGTAGTTCCTTTTGGGGGTTCATATTATAAGAATCCCATAAGGTAATCCCAAAAAGGAACTACTTTGGGGCCTATGGGTAAGGTCATTAAGGCAATGCTGGATTCATGTCACCAAACGTAGTGTAGGATTTCGCCTTTGTGACTGCACTTTTGGGTATTGCAGGACTTATACCATCAACCGTACGATGGTTTAGGATTTAGGATCTAGGGTTCAGGGTTTAGGATTTAGGGATTAAGGTTGAGTTTTGCCTCTTTAAGGACGTACATAAAGAAATCATATTAGGGAGCCCGAAAAAAGGTAGCTTCTTCGGGGTTCAGGTAGGGTTTTTAGACACATTTCGAGGAGCTGCAACGGCTACAACAGCTCAGCGGGACTCGAGGACAGAAACTGCGGGTTCAAAGATGGGGCTTTCTTGAAAGGTCCCTATCCCTTATAAGGCTCTAAGGACTCTTGAAAAGGGATCTATATAGGGGTTCTATACGGGTTCCTTTAAGGGGCTCTATAACCCTCACAGGCTCTAAGGACTCATGTCTTAAGGCTTTTGGGCCCAAAGACCATAAAATGTAAGGCCTTTGGGCCATTTTGAGCCTCAGGGTATTACTGGGATCTGTAAGGGTGTAGGGTTTGGGGTTAATTATAGTTAGGGACCCAGAAAGCACATAAGCATAAGCACTTTAGGGGGATGTCCCTACCTTCTTGGGCTTCCTTTTAAGGGCCCAATATTCCTATCCTTGTTTTTGCTTATGTGCTTTTTGGGGGCCCAAAATAAGATTTCACGATTTCTGGCAGGAGGCATTGGGTTTCGGGCTTGCAGGTGTAGGGTTTAGAATTTCAGGCAGGGTTTAGCACTAATTTAGTAGCAGGCACGGCGGTTTTTTGGCGTTGTGATGCCCGCACCAGCCAAGGTGCGTTCTCTGAGCATCCTAAGCTCAGTGAACAGCGGCGGATGGAATGGTACCTAAACCCCACATCTAAAGCCTCTCCAGCACGCCCCAAACTACCCTTTAGTAGAGCCCTTGTGGTTCTTAATAGTGGATATTTAAGGTATGATAATGGGTAATTGGGGGGTGCTGGCTTTTCCCAGACCTCAAAATCTTACCCAAGAAACCCTACACATCCCCGCCCCCCTCCCCTTCAAACAAGATGAACAACTAAATCGAGCAGCAGGACCTCTGGGTGATGTGGGTGGGCCCATTGCTTGGTAGCTTTGCTGCAATTGCGATGCAACCACAGTCCTGAACTGTTGACATTTCTATGACCAGGTGTTCCTTTAGGGATTTTGGGCTCCAGGGAAGTGGTGTTTGGAGATTTAGGTATAGGGTTTAGGGAGGTTTTGAGGAGTTTGGGTTCAGGGTTTAGAGGTTCGGGGTTTTGGGATTTGGTGTTCGGGATTTTGGGATTCAGGGTTTAAGGGTTTGTTTAGGGTGCAGAACCCTCACCTTCGTGTCCAGCGATCCGCAGTACTTCCCTGCACATGTCCTTCGTTATGGCTGCAGATGTGGGGCAGCTAAAAGCACACGAATCCTTTCGCTTGCAGCAAAAAGACATACGCAACACGATGTCCCGCTGACACTGCGACATTAAACAGCCTGCCGGCGCAAGCGCAGCAAACACAAACGCACTCCACACTGGCAGCAACAAATCGCGCCAGCGCAGCTGCAGAGGGAAATCACATCCACCCAGCACTCGCAGCAAAAAACACCCCAAACAGGAAAGCAAGCAAGCAGAGGCCCAAGTTGTTACCGACTAGGTTTGCCAGGACCATTCGCTTTTGTACAGAGTCCCAGAGGATCCATTATGCAGCAAGTAGGTTTCCAAAGCCATAGTAAGGATAGTCCTTGAGGACCTACTTCCGTAATCGTCGTTTTTCTGGACGGTCTGGGAGTACTGTTGATGGACAAAATCCTGCATGACCTTAAGGACCCTAAACTATGGGAATTATGGTATATTCCTTATATTGGGTCATGCAGGATATTGTCCATCCACAGTATGGTGCTGTGCCGGAGATGGGAGAAACAGTTCCGCTCCAAAGAAGAAGAAGCCTAACCTTTTGGTGCAGGCCTGGACGCTGCACCAGTGCCTACCCATGTAGTTTATATACTTTCATCCTTACAGCACAGCGGTCCCTACATAGTTACTTCAGGGTCAATGCACTATGTATATATATATATATATATATGTACTGTATGGGCACATGGGGCCTTAGGGAGTGGATACCATGGAAGCATTCCGGCAGCACTCAGGGACGGGAGCATCGGAGGGAGATGTGGGAAGCCCACCCTTGTTTGCTGATGTTGCTTTGTCTCGCTGATACCAGGAGCTGAGCCACTCACCAAAAGACAACAAACCCGCATGCCCCAAAACTTGAAAGCTTTATAAACGAAGCCCTAACGACAAACCACAAAAACAAACTGTACAACCCGAAGCCCTATGCACTAAACCACGACAAGCCCCCGTAAACCCTAAGCCGTAAGCCCTAAACCCTAACCTAGGTAAAGCAAAGAACAACCACAAGCCGATCCCAGGAGGGGCCTTAGCCGCCCTCACTCACTTGGCGCTCCTTGGCCAGCAATACCATCCGATCTCCTGCCCAGACCCCCTGTTGTCATCCTCGGGCTCGCCCCTTACCCAGACCCCCGGTGGGTTTAGGGTTTAGGGGTTTGATTAGGGGGTTTAGGAGTTTTAGGGGTTAGGGTTTAGGGTTTAGGGGTTTGGAGGATCTAGAAAGTAGATCCCCTTATTGGGGCCCTATACTACTAACTAAGGGTACTTTAGAGGAACCCCCATTAAGGGATCTACTTTTTGGATTTTTCGGGGGGGGGGGGGGGGGGGCTGGGTACGGATGCACTGTTGCGTGGGTGAAGTTCTCTAATGTTTAGGTCCTTTGGCGGTCCCTTAAAGGATCTATGACCATCTCTGTGGTTCTAGGACCTGGAGTAGGCCCTTATTCCCTTTTTGTAGGGTTCAGGTTCCCTTATAAGCCCCTTTAAACCAAAAAGGGCACCCTTTTTATTCCTAGGCTACTCTTGGGCTTAGTAAAGGATCTATGACCATCTCGGTGGTTTCTGTAAGGGTATTCTAACGGTACTGTTTTAGGTCCCCCAATATATACCCTAAGGGTCTAGATATCTCCTGAGGAGGGTCCGGAATCTCCTAGGGAGAGCCCTTGGGTCTCTTTGGGGTCTCAGAAATCCTACATTTTGAGGTTCCCTCAAGTGTTAGGGCCCTTAGAGTAATTAGTACGGCACCCGTTTAAACAAGACCCCACAAGGGCCGCTACTTTTAGAGAACTGCCCCATGTGCTGTTTAGGGTTTGGGGTTAAGGGTTCAGGGTTGTGTTTTGACCTATGTTTTGTTGTCTGCGCAGATGGTCCGCATATCCTACTATTATGGCATCACGTCCGCAAAGGCCATTCTTTTTGGCCTTGGAGGCCTTGCTCCATAATAGTAGTATATGCGGACCTTCTGGGTAAGGAATTCATAGGGCTGTCTAAGGGCTTATGAACCTTTCTGAACGGTTCATAAGGGTGTTTATAGTAAGGGTGCAAAGGACACTGAATAATTACGAGCGCTTCACAGATTTTCACAAGTTTTGTGGGGTCTTACAAGGTCTACAAAGGTCTACAGGAACAGTTAGGCACTCGGGGTTTAGTGTGGCCTCTTTGGGGGTTCGTACAGGGAGAGTCCGTAGATGGTTAAGTCTCTCATTTGAGGTTCGAATTTTTAGGTCCCTAAAATAGTACGGCACCCTTTTCAAAAAGACCCCCAAAGGGACCCTAATTTAGAGAACTACCCCTACAGTATCCTACAGCACCCTTACAGAGATCCAAAAGAAACCAATATGGATACCTTTAAGGAACCCCAAAACGGTACACTAATCTAGAGAGCTGTCCATTTGGTTGCGAGCCACCTGGACTGCTTGAGCTTCGGCTGGGTGTAGTTGAGGGTTTAAAGGGGGTTTAGGGAAGTTTGGTTTAGGGTTGAGTGTTTCTTAAAGGTCCTACAAGGGCTTTCCTTTTGCAGGGGCTTTAGATTTAGGGTTCCACTGTCATATTCAGTTGTGGTACACTAAGCCTCCTACACCCTGTGGTGCTTCATGATACATGCTTTTAATTCTGCATGTTCAAGTGTAAAGTTGAAGCTTGCTCATTTGGGGTTCGGGGTTCCACAATCTAAATACGTTAGTCTATCGGTATCATGGTATAGTACTTGCTATGGGCTTGCTATGGGCTGGACTGGGTTGTGTCCATCAACCATACCGGTAGCAGAAAAACGTGTTTTTTTTCTGGCTCCTTCTTGGGTTCAGGTTCCCATATATACATCCAGAATGCTTATACTTAGGCCCCAAAGTACCAATATAGGGACTGCTTTAGGCCAAAGCATACACTATCTGGGCACATGGAGCCTTATGGCTACATAACTGTGGTATCGGCCCTAAAGCCTTAGCAGGGGCTGAAACCCATTTCTCTAAAGCACTGTAAGTCTAAAACTCTGGAGGCCAGAGTTGAAAAACAAAACCTTCACTGGAATGAAGCAAGACCCGACTTGCCGGGTTTGGAGGTACTAGAGGGGCCTGAATAATTACCAACACTATTTCAGGGCTTCCTTCTTACTCTAAATATAGTATAATGGGCTTCAAAACCCTATTCTAATTATTAAGGCACCTGCATTAGGTTGCTTCTTTAGGGGTGAGGGTTTTCAGGGTCTTGTCCGCGATATAGCTTCTGTTTTGATTTGACTGTATGCCCACTAGGCATAGTTGCTTTTTTGTCGGAGTGTTTCTAGTTGCGAGTATCGTTATAGCCTATCTTGCTGGTATTGCGAACTCTTTGTCTTTCTGTGTCACTGTCACGAGAATCGCACTGACATTCCCTGAACCCAACTCCGAATGGGAGTTTCCGAAAACTAGGGGTACCTTATCTTGGGGTCTTTATAATAAGGATCCTATTTTTTTAGGGTACTATTTTAGGGTCCCCTATTTTCGGAAACTCCCAAATCGAGATCACACCTTTTTCGAGGTGCCTCTAGGACCTAGGGTAGGCCCTTATTCCCTCTTTTCAAGGGTTCAGGTTCCCTTTTAAGTACCTTTAACAAAAGGGCACCCTTTTGATTTCTAGGTTGCTCTTGGGTCTAGTCCAAGAACTTTAAGGATTTGGGGTTTAGGGTTGAATTTCGCATCCCGAACCCCAATTACGCGCTCAGCCATGGAGCAAAACCCCCTGGATTCTTTGTAGCCATGTGGAGGATCATGGGACTCAGTGACTCAGACCTAGGGTTATGAATAAGGCAACTACTCTTAGAATTAAGTCCCATGTACCTCCAATCCAAGCGAGGTTCAAGCCCAACCCCAACAAAGTGGTCACAATGGACGGCTAGGAGCGAAGCTCGAGGACAGGCAGGGTTTGGGGATTCAGGCAGTTCTGTTTTTGATGAAGGGTCTGTGATTTTTGCCTCGGTGGTGCAGTTGGGGCTCTTTTTGCTATGGACGCTTTATGCCGCAATAGATCCTACTATTTGCTTAAGAAACGCGCAAAAAATAAAAAATAATAATCCCTATATTACCCCCATAAGGAATATATTTTTTATTTTATGGGGGTTCTTAAGCAAATAGTAGGATCTGTTTAGTCTCCTGGTTGCAGTTTCGGTCGCACTTTGCTCTTGCAGGACCCTGCCAACCCTCGGGCTCAAGATCGCCCAGAGGCCTTGTGTAGTATGGTCTTTGGGCCCAAAAGCAGTGAAATACGAGTCCTTAGAGCCTATGGGTTTTACATCCCCTTAAAAGCCCCCCCTATGGGACCCTTATAGACCCCCTAAAGCCTTAACATATGAGCCCTTATAGAGTATAACCCTGAACCCCCGAAGCCCTGAGCCTTGCCTTTGAGTTCATGTTTAGGGTTTAGGGTTTAAGGTTTAGGGTTTAGGGTTTAGGGTTTAAGGTTTTGGGTTTAGGGTTTAGGGTTTAGGGTTTAGGGTTCATGTTTCACCAAGTTGAGGGCAAAATGCCAGCGCTACTTTGCAGAAAGGAGCTATTAGTTGGGGGGTTCACGGATTTTGCGGCTCAAAGGGTGCACATCAAGTTTGAAAACAAAAAGCTTTGCCTTTGCTCTTGAAGGACCCAACGCGAATCAGTGAAGGCGCCGCATGCCCCTGCCGTCTCACAGGCCGCTGCCTGAATCTGAATTCGGATTTGAAGGCGAAATGCGCGTTTAACGCAGTAGCTCAGCACTGACTGGTGAGTGGATTAGGGTTAGGGGTTTAGGGGTTCAGAGGTGTAAGGGTTTAAGGCTTCATTTTGGCTCCTAACCTACATAATTCAGAAATCATGCACCCGAAAAGGGCCTGAGTTTCTCTACAGCGGGACCCTAAACCCACAACCTCAGACACTAATGTAGGAACCTGAGTAAGAAACCCTGGGCCTATAACACCCAAAAAGTATAGAACTCATATATAAGGAGCCCGAATACAGGCCCAAGGTTTCTTAACCAGGTTGCTATACTAGGACCTGGAGTAGGCCCTTATTCCCTTTTTGTAGGGTTCAGGTTCCCTTATAAGCCCCTTTAAACCAAAAAGGGCACCCTTTTTATTGCTAGGTTACTCTTGGGTTTAGTAGACCCTACAGCAAACGTGCAACCCCAAACAGGTGAAGCTCAAAGTCCAATCTGTTCCTATTCATTTGTGCGGGTTCCTTTAAGGGCTTCTGGTAAGAATAGGGTTGACTGACGGGTCACTATAAAAGCCTCATTTACGGGATCTATAGCGGCTTTACAGCATAAGAGCTGGACACTTACCAAAACTATTCCTATAGGTTCTGAATTGTTTCCACAAGCGGCATCCAGATAGCCTGAACATGAGTCAGTGAGACCCTAACAGTTCATATGTCTTGGCCCGAAAGTACCTAAAATTGTGTATATATTAAGGCCATGGTATATTATATAATACTATCTGGGTACATGAACCCTTCTACCCTAAACCCTACAAAACCTTCAAGGCTATGGTGTGGAAAAAAAATATGCTATCTGGGTACATGAACCCTTATACCTTAAACCCTATAAAGCCCTTATGGAACCCTTTAAAGGGACCCCCCGAAAGGAACCCGAAGAAGACCTTTTAGGTACTTCGGCCCTTAGGAAGAGCAAGCAGAGACCCAAGCACAAGCACCATCAACCTATGGGAGTTGCCCCAAATAGATGGGGGTTCCTTAGGGTTCCTTTAGAGGGTTACTATAAGGGTATTATAAGAGTGCCTTTAAAGTTCTGACGGGCTCTATAAGGGTTTAGAGTTGACGGGCTCTATAAGGGTTTAGAGTTTCCGAAAAGTAGGGGTACCTTGTTTTGGGGTCATTGCGATAAGGATCCTGGTCCTAGTCTTCAGAGTACTTTGTTTTAGCATCCTCTGTTTTTCGGAAGCTCCCATTTTGCAACACCAAACCCGCAAGTCAAACCAGAAATCCTCAACCCCAAGACTAGACATCGTGGCCCTTTAAGCCTTACTTGTAGAACTACCTCGGCGCTAAGCTACCTGCCTTTTTTTGAGGATTTGTAGAAGGAAATCATGTTAAGGAGCCCCCCAAAAAAGAGTTCTTTAGGGCCCAGGTATGCCCTATCTAGACTTTAACATTTAAAGTAAAAGCCAGAAAGTTGGAATTTGATTATCCTAAACCCTTTATGGTAAATTATAGGGTATCCTACCCTGAAACCATATTCCAACTTTCTGGAGTTCCCTTTAACATCCCAGGCTGCTACCTCTATCTCCGTACGCAAAATGCACTAGGCCCCTGACTCAGAGAGCCAAATACCCCGTCATGAAGAAACATATTTCATATCATTACATTAAAGGCCCCCTAGATTATGTTCCTGAACAGACGCTGTGAGTAATTATGTACCGACGTGAGTCTGGTTCTGTCGCCTTATGCATTCCCGTCCGGTCGCCTGCTCAACACGCGCACTTCGCCCATTTGATCCCAATCCGTAGTAGCGCGAAAGCCGACAAAGAAGATTTCCTGGCTATGACACAAAACTAAACCCTAAACCCTGGATTGATGGATTCATGATATCAGCGTAGTTGGCCCGAAGATGATCTTAGATAGAGTTCCAAAGGGATGAAAGGGAAAACCAGCTAGCCGCTTGTTCGAAGCTTGCTTGTAAGCTTCACGTTCCTGGCAGCAACCTAGGTTCACTGGCATGTAGCACTGAGGCACCCTTAATTATACTTCATGGTTCACGGCACCTGTTTATGAAGACCAACCCTTAGACCTACACCCTAAATTAGGCGGAACTCCTGGGGCTGTTTCCCTAAGGCTCCATGTAGCCATATAGTATATACTTAGGCCTTAAAGTACCTGTATAGGGACCCGCAGGTCTCCTCAAGGCCCTCAGGGTCCAAGTATATAATAATCATATACTCTCTTAAATATTGAGCTACATAACTACTATCCTAAACCCAAGTACCCGATTATTGGGTCCTTTGGACCCTTAGGGCTCTCTCTTTTTGTCCGCTTGACTTGAGGACCCCACTCAAGCTACTATTTGCTTAAGAACCACCAAAAAATAGAAAATATGTTCCTTATGGGGGTAATATAGGGATTACTATTTTTATTTTTTGGGGGTTTCTTAAGCAAATAGTAGCAAGTGTATGGCTTAAACCCCCTACACTCTGAACCCTGAAGCCTCTTCGGTTGTTCGCGGGGGTTTTTAACTTAGATCCCCATTACCTAACCTTTCAATTTGTTGGGTTCATATAGTAGGAACCGGAAAGTTTAAGCTTTAATTTCTGTGGCCTATTGGGGTGGTAAGTTAAACTGTAGAGGTTTAGGATCCCGACACCCTAAATCCTAAAGCCTCCTGGGGGTCTGGGCGTTAAATATACCATACTTAAATTTCCTAGTAGTAGAGGAGGCAACCTTTAACCTTCTTTGGGTAGTCCCTATGCAACCCCTATATAACCAAAACGCTTAACCTTTAGCTCCCCATGATACCCGAGAAGTAGGATTATTAGGGGTTTAGGGTCAGGGATCGTCTGGCCCTTAGGGCCCTGCTTTGAGATTGTAGGCCTTTTGCAACAACGACCCCATCCAGGAGTCTGAAAACAGGACTCTTCACCCAAAGAGCCCAATACCCAACGAAGGAGTCTGAAGTCCCGAAGTACCTGCAAAGCAGAATGTAGGGTTTATATTTTAGGAATTTAGGAATTTAAGTTGAGTCATGGTAAGGGCCTTAAGGAAGACAAGCTGATGTTCCTTGGTGAGTGGGCATTGGGCTCTGCAGGTCACGGCTCTGGGGACCAAGAATACCAATAATTTTGGACTTTTGTACTGGGTTCTCGAGTTCGTATATAGATGATTATAGAATTTTTCATCGGCATACGGAACAATCGTTGTAGAGCAGCCGCTTATTCGCTTGGTTAGTTACTTCAGAACCGATAATCCCTCCCCTGAATATTAAATCCCCCTAATATAAAATGAACTCGTCGCCAGGATTTCGCGATTTCGGGCCCACAATTGAAAGTTAGTTAAAAACGTTAGGGGGAGCTAGGATTGTATGAGTTTTAATAGAGCCAAAGACTACAGCATCACTAATCAGACCGAAGAGACCAGAGCTTTAGGGTTTAAGGGTATAGGGCTCAGGGCAAAATAGAGTTTAGAGCATGAGGGCTTTGGGGGTTTAGGGCTTTAGGGTTTAGGGCAAGACTATCTGCTCTACAGCCGGAGCGGCTGCGTGATGGGCGGTCTTGGTGTTTGCCTCATTATTACTCTCAATCCGACTCATACGTGGATGCCCCGACACCCCCCCTAATATTGAATTAGAATCCCGGAAATCAAATTGTAGATTAGGGAGGGGGGGGCGTTTAATATTAGGGGGAAGGGATTACATGGGCCCAAGAAACCCCTGTAGTAAAGCATAACCATGACAGACCTACTATAAACCCCACACAAAACTCTGTACAAACCCATAGAAAGCCTAGTGAGAACCCTGAAGCCCTACACCCAAATCCTAATGCCTAAACGGCTTAGCTTCAGAACCCAGTGGTAGACAGTTGAATTCGACATGTTGTATGCTCAAGAGTGTCTCGTGCTGAGACCCGTCGCGTGCTTGGTGTTTCTAAGCCGTGAAAACGGGCAAAGCGCATCCTTTGAGCCGATACTCTATAAGGGATCGACCTAGGGTTCCTTTAAAGGGATCTACCTAGGGTTCCTTCAAAGGGATCTATAAGGGTCCACGTATTTCGTTAAAGTTAGGACCCAGAGTAGGCCCTCATTCCCTTTTTAAGGGTTTAGGTCCCCTATAACCCCCTTTAAACCAGAAAGGGCACCCTCTTTATTCCTAGGCTACTCTTGGGTTTAGTACATGTAGCCATATAGTATCTTCTATAAAGGTACA